TTAAGGAACTCATAATACAGAAAGGAGAATGAGTTTAGACTATGTAGTAACTTCCTGTCACTTCATTTTCAATTGGATACTCTACTTCAAATGATGACAGAATGGAAATGTCATTGTTCATTATTTATCCCACAAATATTCCATGAGCCTTAAACTATGAGACGACTGATGAAATAAAACCATAAAGAAATCAACCATATTGTGTTAGTAATAATCTGCTGGCAAAGAGTTGCTCACAGGGGCCCAATTATTACTACAGTGAGTGATTCTTTTAATTATTGAAATTAAAACTTAAAATAGTTTTTAAAATTTTAAGTTATTGGAGAATTTAAAATTGTTACTGGAATTAAAATTAAATTGACTTTTTATTCTTGAAATCCAACTCAACTCTTTTATTTATTTTTATTTTTATTTTATTTTATTTTATTTTTATTTTATTTTTTTTTGTTTGCCTTCACTTAGTCCTTGCAGGACCTAAGTGAGGCAAGTTTCTTGGCCTGCCTTCACAGACAAGGGGACAGTCATTCATGGAGGTCCAGGCCCTTGCTCCAGCTCACAGGCCCTATGTCTCCTGACCGGAAGCCCAGGGCTCTCTGTATGAGCTGACAATTTCCTACTTGTCACAGGAATTCAGAAACTGTTGCCAAATTAGGGTCGTATAGTCTTCAGACCTGGGCCTGTTTTCTGACCCAGAATTCATGAATTGAAGGAGAGGCCAAGATTCCAGAAGGAAGGACATTGCAACAGACACTGCGACAGATATATACATAATAATATTCCAAATATTTCCCCGGAAACAGCTACAGTCACTTATTTAGGTGTCACGCACCAGGGAAAGTGGGGTGCCTTTTGAACACTGTAGGACATGGGGAATGAACTGGCTTGTTAACTAGGGGCCTGAAGCATTTACAAGCGGCCTCCCCTTAGAGTGGGGTCCTATGGGGCCCAGGTACTATATGGGATCATGGCCCAGGTCTGGCCCAGAGTGGTCCACTGAGTCCATGGGCCCACCTAACAGCCATCTCCCCCGTTGCTGATATTCACTTGGAGCACAAGTGCATGGTAGGTGGTATAACCTTCTGTATTGTTCCTTGGCCAGTGGAGTAAAAGCTACCTTAGTGGGGAAAGTCTAGTGGAAGCGCTGTAAGCCCACCACCACCACCACCAGCCAAAAGAGTAAATCAGAACCAACATCAAATCCTGTCTAACTGACTGAAGTTCCTGGGGGACAGGGAACAGGCTTAGCTACTGAAAGGTTCCAGCAACATAAGCCAAGTCAAAGTCAGTTTCACAGGTTGATAAAACTCTCCCCATTGCTATGGAAACTTTGAAATTTAGTTATGGGGGTTAGTTAATTTTGTCATTTTCTTTCTATATAGCTTTAGATATTCTTTTTAAAAATTTAATTTAATTTTTTACATCTTTTTTAACTGAAGTATAGTCAGTTTACAATGTTGTGTCAATTTAGATATTCTTTCAAAACAATCAAATGTGTCTAAAATTTTAGACAATATACACTAATTTTGTTCTTTTTAAACATTTGTTTTTATCCATAGGCAATGCAAATGCTATGGTAGCACTCACTTTTTGTCAATTCTTAAGTCAGTGTCAACTGTGGATGTGTATTCACGAAGGCTATACCTTAACCCTGAAACCACGTGAGGAAAGAGTAAAGCCCCATGACATTTTAAATACTTAGCCCAAAACTTTGGGGAAAATGCCCAAGTCATAGCAATGGCATGATGACTCAATTTTCTATGTAAAAAGGGGTTTGTCCTAAAAGGAATAATCTGATGTTCATGCACAAACATAGATATCTACATTTGTATTTTTATGATTTTAGAGAAGAATGCAAGATTATTATTCAATGAGTACTTTCAAATTTTACACCAGAGATTAATATATTTACATGCACAGCTTTAAACTATATTAAGCACTACAGGGACTAGGTTATACAAAATACCAAACATACAACCTGTTCTCAAAGAACTAACAAGTGACCTATTTATTTAGATTACTATCTGAGTAGTATTTGGGTACATAGTTAAATTTAGAATGAACTTTAAGAGTTCTAAAAGCACTAAAAATAATTACAAACATGGCAAAGAGGTCAGGATCTGGTATCAAACTGAAGGGATTCATCCTTAAGTCTCCAGCTCTGCAGCTTTAGTTAGTAATTCCACTTCACTAAGCTTCACTTTCTCTCTTTGTAAAATGGGTTCATGTGAAGACTAACTGAGATCACATACGGCACAGAACCTCGTACACAGCAAGTCCTCAAATATAAGTAGCTATTATTTCTGTTATTTATAATTGGGGAAATACAACCATGTGAAAAAGAGGAATATTGGTAGTCAACAAAATTAAGGTCTTGCAAACATTAAGAAGAAACCTTGAAAGCCGGAATCTTTTAAAGACTCCCTACCAACAGCTCCTAGGAATACTGAGTCTGCTGATGTTTAACACTGAATACAATGAGTACAATACGTCACAAAAGCATCCCCAATAAACCATCAGTGCTCTCGGGCCCGGAACCTCTACTCTTTCCTCTCCTATAGCTAAGATCGTCACCATCATCCCCACCGCTCAGTTTTCTTCACTTATGCCTTATCATTTAAAAATTGTTATTATTATTGTTATTGTTATATGCTATAAAATCTACCTTTTACCTCTGCTATGACTTTGTGATTGGTGCCCTGGGGACAGATGCTGTGGAACAGCAGGATATTTAGAACACAAACAGTTCAACAGAGCCCTGCTTAACTGCCCACCAGAAAAGGGACCACTTCCCAAATCAGTGACAAGTGACAGGTGTCAGAGACTGACATCTAAGTTTCATGCCCCCTCCACTTTTCCTTTTTTGTCCTAGAGAGACAAGTGGTGAGATGAAAAACCTCCCCTGCCCTGCAAGAAAGCATAATGTGCATTGTTAACACACATTCATCCTTTCAAATGTTTTGATTCACTGGATGGACATTTTATGAAAGCAACAATTTTGGGGGAAGTGGTCATTGAAAGTGAATTATTCCTGAGCATTTTAACTGAATAATAAACTTTAATCCTGGCAAAATGACATTTAACTCTTCTATTAACTGAATAATAAACATTAATACTGGCAAAATGACATTTAACTCTTGAAGCTTAGAAAAGTTATGGTGACCAGGTTTCTTACCTACTACAATACCATAGGAAAAAAACAGAAAGTAGATATTGGGGGCAAAACTGCTCAACATGAGGCCTCCGGCCACCATGAAGCCACTGAAGATTGTCACAGGTCTTGCTCCAAACGATGAGACACACAGGCTGCAGACAGGACCTAAAGTAACACAGGAAACCTTCACTTATTTAACAGTCATCTTCTTTCCAGAATCCTATTATCCATCCCATCGTATGTTTAAAATAACTCTTTCCATCATAAAATAACAATAATAATAAAACTACTGTGTATTTCTTATGTGTTGGACACCCTGTGAGATACTTCACATAAACAATCTCACTTCACTGTAATCTTACTGCACTCCTGGCAGGTAGATGCTTTTGTCAGTCTCATTTTTTTTTTAAATGAGGAAATTAAAGTTTCAAGAAAGTGAGGCCACAGAGTTAAGAAATCAGGGCTCTGGGATCAGACCTCATTCAAATTCAAGCTCAGCTATTTGCTAGCCTGTTTGAGCTCAGGCAACTGATTTGATCTCTCTGTGCCTTAGTTTCCTCATGTGAAAACTGTAATAATAATAGAACCCACTGCATGGTGTTACTGCGAGGACAAGTGATCACAGACACAGCGCTGATCAGTGACGGTTCTTTAGCAACAGAGGAACAGCAGCAGCCATCATCAAAACAGCAACAAAGTGAAACCCCTGGCTGTCTGACTCCTGAGCCCGCCACCTTAACCATCACATTCTTCTGAGGATTTTCTTCTCCCAGATATGCCATGTATCTTTTCTACCCTGAGCTCCTATCCAGCATAAGGCCAGTCATATAAGTGATGACAAAAATAAACCTGGTGATTGACTAAATGCAATCAATAGCAACCCTACAGGGGAATGAAGTGGGGGGTGAAGTGGTTACTCCCTTCCTCGAGAATATTCTGGCAGATGGGGCCCATACCTCCACTCTACCTGCCCAGGCAGGAGTTTATCAGAACCACTGTCCCACATATCACATGTAACATGGAATTTGGGAAGGAAGTGTACTGTTGACTGACAGGTAGAAGTGACCATTACCTGGACCAGTTCTACGCAGAAGTGGGCAACTGCTCATGTAATAGGATGTAAGTGATAGTGAAATTCTTTAATAAAGGAAACTGAAGCTCAGAGAAGTTGTCCAAGGCCACAGTAGAAGAAAGAGCTCAACATTTGAAAGCAATGAGAAACATCTTCATTGAGTTCACAACAACCTTTCAAGGTACAAATGATGATCCCCAATATTTAAAAAGCACACTCACCAGGATGGCTAAATACAGACACAGTGTTAACAAGGATGTGGAGCAATCTGAACTCTCATCAACTGCTGGTAAGGTCTCCTGAAGTGCAACGTAACACTGTCCCGCCCGGAAGTTCCACTTTCATGTGTCTCTACACCGAAAGTTGTGTACACAAACGGTCAGAGCAGAACTACTCAGAGTGGCCAGCACCCACAAACCTGGATGCTCATCAGCAGTAGCAGGTACAAGCAGACTGTGGTGTGTTCTGACAATGGGCTATCAAACGGCCATGAGAATAAATGAGCTGCAGCTACACATGGCTACATGGATGGATCTCACAAACATGTAGAGTGAAAGACACAACACGAAAAATGTACACATGGTGTAATTCCAATCATAAGAAGTACAAAAACAGGCAAAATTCATCCACAGTCAGAAGTCAGGATAGTGGTGATCTCTGGTGGGGGTAGGGAGCTCTAACCAGAAGGAACATAGCCCCGCTTCCAGGTACTGCTAATGTCCTGCTTCTGGACATGACTGTGCTCATTACATGGGTGTGTCTGCTTTGTAAAAAATTCACTGAGCTCTACTCTCATGAGATATATGCTTTTCTGTATATATCTTTTACTTTGATAAAAATGTTTTAAGTAACCTGAAATGGAGAGATGGTGTTATCTGCTCACAGTCTCATCGTTAGTAAGTGGTAGAGCCAGGACCCAATGATGCCAAGATCAACAGTCTTACGGATACCAGAGTCTCTTAAGCACACATTTAAGAGCAGGTTATGACCACTGAGACACCACCTGCTTTCAGTGCCTATGGCCTTCCCACATTTCTCCCTGGTCATGAACTGGCCCCTGTCATTTCAGGCCTCCTAGTGTGAGCCACTACAGAAGAGATGACTGATATATTTATATGACAAAGAGAGGGGAATATTCTGTGCCAATGTATTAGGAGGAAAATCCATCTGAAAAACCAAAATTATCACCCGATAGTTGAGTTGTCTCTGTACCCAATGAGAAACACTTGGTTACTTCAAAAATAGACATGATTTTAAGAGTAGTATTTCATAAATGGATGTATGACATTATAAAGGCATAACCCTTCTCTGTTGTTTACCAAATTGTATTGACATTGAGAGTCAGTGTTTACAAATTAAACAGGCACATGGAATTGAAATAGAGATTACTACTGGCATGTTTGAAAAGTTTCAAGTTTCATCCTCAAAGTAGGACTTTAAATTTATGCTCCTTACTGCATGTTAACTCTGCAAGGAAACCCAGAGCTAGTGGTGGGATGAAAGTAACAATTTTCATAGGATGTACAACCAAAACCAGGACTTTGTAAAAATACAGTATTATTATCAATTTAAATTGAGAAATCATTTTGCCTAATACATGATTCTTTGAAAAAAATTAAGCTGAAGGGAGAAATGAGCAGAAATTCTTTGACACATGTAAACAGCAAATTGAAAACGGTTTTTAAAAAATTCTCACCTCACACCTGTCAGAATGGCTATTATCGAAGAGATGACAAATAACAAATGTTGGTGAGTGAGGAAGCAGAGAAAAGGGGGCCCTCATGTGCTGTTAGTGGGAATGTACATTGGTGCAGCCACTATGGAAAACAATATGGAGATTTCTCAAAAACTTAAAAATAGAACTACCATATGATCCAGCAATTCCACTCCTGGGTATTTATCCAAAGAAAATGAAAACACGAACTCAAAAAGATACATGAACTCCTATGTTCATTGCAGCATCATTTATAATAGCCAAGATATGAAACCAATCTAAGTACCCATCAATAGATGAATGGATGAAGAAGATGTGGTATATCCATGCAATGGAATATTACTCAGTCATAGAAAATAATGAAATCTTGTTATTTACAACAGCAAAGATGGACCTAGAGTGTATGGTGCTAAGTGAAATAAGTCAGACAGAGAAAGACAAATACTGCACAATTTCACATACATGTGGAATCTAAAAAGCAAAACAAATGAGCAAACATATCTAAACACAAAAAGAGTCATAGATACATAGAACAAAGAGATGGCTGCCAGAGGAGAGGGGGAAGGGAGGGAGGACAGAAATAGATAAGGGAAATTAACAGGTACAAACTTCCAGTTACAAAATAAATGAGTCACAGGTATGAAATGTACCATGTGGGAAATATAGTCAATAATTATGTAATATCTTATTGTGATGATCATTTAAAAATGTATAGAAGCATAAAATCACTACATTGTGTCCTGAAACTAACATAGTGTTGTGAATCAGTTATATCTCAAAACCAACAAACAAGCCAACAAACAAGCTCAAAGAAAAAGAGATCAAATTGGTGGTCACCAGAGTCTGGCAGGATGAGTAAGGAGGAAGAATTAGAGATAGTCAAAAGGTACAAACTTCCAGTTATAAGATAAATACTAGGCAGGTAATATACAACTTGATAAATATAACTAACACTGCTGTATGTTATAAATGAAAGTTGTTATGGGAGTAAATCCTAAGTGTTCTCATCAAAAGGAAAGAAAATTTTTTTTCTATCTCTTTAATGTATCTATATGAGATTGTGAGTGTTCATTCAACTTACTGTGGTCATTGTTTCAGGATGCAGGTAAGACAAATCATTATGCTATACACCTTAAATGTATACAGTGCTGTATGTCAATTATATCTCAATAAAACTAGAAGAAAAAATGTCTACTTCATACTGCCATCTCCTGCTTACTTAGAGAAAAAAATCTTGATGTCAGAGGTCAAAGACAAAGAATTTTAGAGCTGAAAGAGGCCTTGGAGAGGGTCCAAAGACCTCACTGAAAAAATGATGAAACTGGAGTTTAGAAGGCTCATGTGATTTGACCAAGAATCCATAGCTAATCAATGACAGGGGTACAGCCAAAGCCAGCTCAGCATTCTTCCCAACTCAGAAGTATTTCCACTGGCACCTGAGTATTTTTTCTAGAAATCAAAATACCAGTTAAAAAGCACCCATGAACCTTTATTAATATCTCAGAGCTTAAATAGTTTTATGAATTTATGGCAGATGAAAACACAGCATTTATGCTTATTTTGGTGTTGAAAAGTTGAGAGCAAATTATTTCATTCCTACCTTCAGAGCCAGGGTATTCCTAGACTCGATTTACACAGCTTTAAACCACAATAGTGCCATGTTTCACCAATAACAAGTGGGGAAAAGCGACCACTTCCAATAACTGGAAGAGACCATTAAGTCACACCCACTCAAACCTGATACGTTAATGTTTAGCTCTTTCTGTTAACAGGCAAGTTCTCCAAGACGATTGCTCCTCAGCACAAGTTTCAATTCAAGAGATTAATTAAATCAAAGGACTACTCTCAAGGGAGATTTCTTATGAGGCTTCAGGTCTTTTACTCTGCAGATGGGACCTTTGGAACAAAACTTAGCTAACTCACAATCTGAACCAGTGGCTCCAACCGTTGGGACCTGTAAAAATTTTTTTAAAAAGGGAGGAGAGCTTTATCATCTAATTGCCAAGTTTTTATTTTAACAAGTAAAGTCATTTTTAATGTAACAGCCACCTATTACCATTTCATTAGAGAAGAAGAAGGAACTAGTGAGAAGTCCTATGTGAAGGAGTTCACAATGCTTGGGGGTAAAACTGAACAGAGGTGCTCAAACCCAGATCTGCCAGTACTCACAACATGCAGCAAGCCTGTTGGCTACAATGACTCACTAGATTAATCTGGGGATAGGTGTACTGACTCATTGGCAATTTGAAAGCCTTTGGAGGAATTAATGACAAAAAAAAGGAGGAGAGGGGAAGGACACTGTTAAATCTCCTCTGAGTACAAAACCACAGAACAAAGCTCAGAAAAAAAACTCTTAAAGTACGCCGCCGCCTTCTTTAAGGAAATGGCAGATAATAGATGATTACTACATTAAAAAAAAAGAGACCATTAAAAAAAAAGAGACTTTACTTGTTAAAATAAAAACTACAGATCTCCCTGCTGTATCAGCAACTCTGTTGTCTGAAAAACAGCCCCACCCTTCTCCTTGAACTTGAAGAGTGACATCTCAGCGAAGAGTGCTTTCTCTCATCTTAAAACAACACAAGGCCATGATCGCCCTCTAGTTCAGGTACCTCCCATTCCTACTGTATCCTTCAGGGTTCAACCAGAGAAACAGAACCCAAAGAAGACATATATTAAGAGACTGACTGCAAGGAACTGGCTTTGGCGGTGGAGGGGCCCTGCTGGGCAAGTACAACACCCCCAGGATGGGCTGTAGGGAAGGACAGACCATGGGGAAGGGCAGGCCATGGGGAAGGACAGACTGGAAGTCTCTGGCACAGGCTGAACCTACATCCACGGGTGGAATTTCTTCCTCTGGAAAAGCTCATTTCTGCTCTTAAAACCTTTCAACAGATGGAACCAGATCCACCTAGATTACTTAGGATCATCTCGCTTACTCAAAGTCAACTGATGATGGATTTTGAGCACATCTATAGAATGTCTTCAGAACAACACCTACATCAGTGTTTGAACAACTCAGGAATGGAGCCCAGCCCAGACCATCACCATCCCTCCTCCTCCAGCCAAATGTGCTCCACCAGAACGCGTCACCTGCAGTGCACGTGGGGACTCTGCATGGACAGCTCTCTCCCACCCGTCCCCCCTGCACAGTCCCTCCTCCCACTTCTCAGCCTATCTACATAAAACTCCAGAGATTTTGTTCTTGCTATTCTTGGTATTTGGGGTGAAGTCTCAAAGCGTCGCTACCCTTCTTTCTTTCTGTCTCTTCCCTGAGACCTCAGATCCCTTATAGCACAGATGATGTCTTCCATCTTGAGCTCCCTCGCACAAAGAAGAGGAGACTCTCTGCATGTAAGTAATGAAGGTGGGCTTGTTCACCGGGCATAACTCAAGGAGGCAGAATTCTTGATACTCAGCTTTAATCACCCCAAGGATCACCTGGACAAATAATTCAGATAAGAGGAACAAGTATTTGCTCCTCAGTTAACTCAAGTTTCAAAGACAAAGAAGATTATCAGGAGTGTAAAGTTAAGACTTGTGTGTCTTTGCACAGTTTCAATATGCTACTCTGTCCAAATCTAGGTTTGGCAGGGACAAGGGGTGGGCCTGTAGATCCAGATGCTCAGGTACAATCTTGACTAAGTTCCAGCTCTCCCTCCCACCCGGCCCCCTAGAAATGCCTTCGTCTCCAAGCTGAAGTGTCCCTTTCTTTCACAGAGTCTACAGTTTGGTTGGCAGTGCTTGGGAAAGTAATTTTACTTATGGGTGACTTTTATTCTCTAATAACTAATATTTGTTGAGTACCTACCATATGCCAAGCACCATCTCAACTATTCTATGTAACAGCCATATACGGTAGGTACTTTTATGATCTCCAATTTAAAGATGAAGAAACAGACTTAACAGGTCAGGAAAACCAGAGCTTAGGTGTCACTCTTTCTCTTAGAGAATGTGCATCATCTTAGGTCACTGAACCTTAAGGACACTAACGCCTACTTCAGCGTGCTATTATAAGAATCAGCTAAGATCAAGTAAGTGAAGGTGGCTGGTACTGAGCCAGGCACACAAGGGACAATTTTCCAACTAATAGGACAAGTACATGAAAAGTAGAATTTTTATGTTGCTTGGCAGATGCATTTATTCTGCTGTGCTTGCTCAATGAGAACTCTCCAGAGGTCGGATCACAGAACTGGTCAAAGATGACACCTAGCAGGTCATCTCCAGACAAAACGGGGTAAACTCACATTTCTCAGATATGACATGTCTTGCTTACATCAGAATCATCTGGGCAGTTAGTTAAAATGAAGATTCCCAGAACCACTCTCCATCCCCACCACATGGCTCTGATGAGTAGGAAAGTGACTTTTTAGACAAGATCGGGTAATTCATAAATACTCCTGAATTTAAGAGCAACTGTATATATATATATATATATATATATACATGAGCCCCATTTTAATAAAAAAAATATATAAATTAATTTTTACCAAAAAGGTGTTTTTTCACCAGGACTGGGGTCACTGGGTACAATTTGTTTGTCATAATTTCCATGGCATAAACAGTGACACAATGAAGCAGAAATCTACAGGAGTTCCCTTTATAAATAAGTCAAAGCCAGCTGTACATGGGAGAATTATTTAAAAGTGTAAGGTTGAAATCTAAGCAAAAAGAGCATAAGCCAGTGGTAATTTCCAACTGAAAATCATTTGGGGGGCTTTAAAGAAATTCGCATACATGAGCCCCATCAAAGACTGACTGAATTAGAATGTCAGAGGGTCAAATCCAGGCATTCATATGCTCAAAATTTTTCTGTAAATGATTCTAATTATCTCCTTGGTTGAGAACTACTGATAACCATCATGAGATGTGCTTTTTTTATTTCCAAGGTAGTACTGATCTATTTGTTTCTGTGTAGAACACAGTTGTCAACAAAGTAGAAGATGAATGTGGCTCACACAGTGCTTGACACCTCCTGCTAAAACTGTGTCACCAGAGTTTTCAGTATTTGTCCCTTCATTCATGCTATGAGGAGCCAAGGGAGGCCAACATCACGTGTGTTCAGTGGACACCAGCTAAAGTGCACATGCACATGCCCATGAGTGGCAGGTCTCCAGCCGTTGTTTTTTCTCACTGCTTCCTCATTCTGGAACCCTTTGGTCTCTGTATTCTATGCTTATCTTCAAGCGCCTTGATTAGCTGGTCTTAGTGTTTCCTCATCTATCTGCACGAGGTCCCTCAGCTACAGAGTGATAGAGCCAGGACTTGAATGAGCACCAACACTGCCCTAGTATTTGTTCACTCCCTGGAACTCCGGTGGGATGCGCTCTCTCTCCAGCCCACCGAGCGGGGCTGGCCTCGTGGGCACGTGACCAATGCAGTTGCAGAGGGCTCAGATCTGAGCAGGGCTGTGCACTCGGTTTACTATTCTGCTGTTGCTGTATTGACATTCTTCATTTTTTTAACAGGAGGTCCTGTATTTTCATTTTGCACCTACTCCTTATATAGCTGGTCCTGCCTACAAGTGAAGGGGGCTGCTGGTGGCCCTGAGACACTGGTCATCCACCTAGAAACTTGGAGAAAGTGGAGATTCACAGTTCAGTTTTCAGAGTCTGAGCCTCAGTTCTGACCAATAACCCACCCATCCTTACAAAGATCTCCACTTCCCTGAACCCTCAAGTCCTACCTCCAAAGGCTGCGTGAAAACAAGTTTTGTTCTCCAGGTATGTGCTAATGGAAACAGCTTCTCAATTACCCTTAGACCCTTGCTAGAAGGCAAGGTAATTGCATTTCTGTTTAACTTTGTATTTGCTAGTAGAAATTATGACTAACTGGAGAACATTTAAAATTCTCTTCTCTTCTCACCAAATCATTTTCTAAAAATTATACCTTCAAACATATCAATCATCATCCACTTGTATTTTGACAGCTTTACAAACAACCCACATTTTGAAAAACTTTCAAACAAATCTTGGCGAACGTTTCCTGTTTTTCTTAAGCTCATAATGATTGTTATTTTCATTTGTTTAGTTATGTTTACTTGTCTTATCTGACGTGGCCAGATGATCCAGCGTTGTTTTTTGAGTCTTGTTTTTAAATTAACAAGGTAATATGCCATTTGGAAGCAACAGTTTTTGTTTTGTTTTGTTTTGATAAATCTCCTTTCATGATCAGGAAAGGCGACATATTTAAAAGAAGGAATGGCCAATGCATTTGTTTGGAAATCATTTTAGAGCTAAAAAATACCTTATAGATCACACATTCAATGTTCTTATTTTCCCCATAAAAACAGAGATTATGATTTGCTCAATGAATCATGTCAAGTTCATAGCACAGAGGAAGACTCCAGGGCTATGTCTCAGAGCATCTGTTCTCAACCAGTTTCAATTAAATCAGACTGATGATCATTAAATATTACTGCAGAGTTCAAACCATGACTGCGGAAATTGAAGTGTATATGATTTTAATTCTTCAAAAAAATAAAAATAAAGACGCCTTTACTTCCTCTTTGAAGATGGTAAGAATCACTATTATATCACACTTGGTAAGTGTTTATCAAGAATACTTCTTTTGAATACTTTATATGAAAGTTATGTAAAATCCACATGTCATTATATATGATACTATATTTAAATCCTTAATGATACCATCATTGTGATATGTCGAATTTTTCTTATGAAGGTGACACAAATGTAGGACATGCAATTTGATCCCAGTTTATCTGAATCAGAGAGGAGTCACTATGAATCACAGAGGAACTGTTCCCAGGACTGGTGAACATCATTTGGTCCTTTGGTCATCAGCATTCATTGGCTATACCTGGCTCCCTGCCCTCTCATCCCTGTATCATTCTTACTCATGGAAGTATGTAGACTGTAGACTAAGTCTCTTCAGGGCAGAAACAATGTGTTTGCTGTTCAGCCTATCATATCCACAATCAGGCACACTGCCTGGCACACAGTAGCAGATAAATGAATAATGAAATAAATGAATGGTTGAATATCTCATGGAATTCCTGTATTTTCACACAGATTTATTACAGTGAGAGAGTGGTTTATCCTCTTCATGTAGACAGGAAAGTATGTGTTATACTTAAAAAAAAAAAAGCCTCCTCTGTCTCGCACAGTGTTAATGATGCAGCAAACGTAATTAGATGATTAATGAGTGAGGAGACACATAAATTAAGCCACTTACTTGCCAGCAAACCAACTCCACTTGCAAGGGATCCGATCCAGGCTGTTTTCCCTTTCCCTTCACCAAACGCATCCAGCCATTCTATATACAAGACGCCAACAGCTAACGGGGACCCGTAACACAAAAACTGAGTGACGAAGGAGACGAGTACAATCACCCAGCCCCATCCACCATCAGGGGACCTTTTGAATTCCATTGTCATGTGAGATCAAGGAGGTGTTTCTCTGTAGGTCCTAAGCAAAAAGAAAAAGAAAAGAAAAGCATGGTCAAGAGTGTAGTAAGGCATGATATTCTGGATCAAAAACAATTCCTAAATTAAAACATCAAAAAATGTTCTCTAAAAATATACAAGGAAAAGGATAAAATATCACTGGCAGATCAAATTAACTTCAAAATCTTTATGATTTGAATAAGTAATACATCCACACATAGAATTGGGCTGAACCTTCAGAGTTGCCCTGAGTTGGGGGTGAGGAGCTGGACCTTCACACCATCATGTTGATCATTCACTGAATGCGGGCCACCCAGCAAGGGGGCGTGACCTTAGGTGAGGGGACTCTTCAAAGGCAATCATTAGCCATGGGGGCTGTCACCTGAAGACCATCTGTCATCACCTTCAGCTACTGAGGCAAGAAATCTTTCATTCCTAAAGGGTGTCTGGAGGAGAACTGGCAGCACAGCACAAGGTTCATTGACTGGAGTAATCTTCCACGGTGTCTTTATGAATATACAAGCAAGACTGAGCAAACAGTCTTAGCTTTCCTTTTTTCAACAAAAAGTGGATCCTGTACATTCTATTCCATACCTTGGTTTATGCACTTAATATCCTTGGAAATGCTTCCTACCAACACATAGAGAGCATTTTTAGTCTTTTTTTTTTCTTCAAACAAACACCCATAGCTATATAAAGGTTTGTCTGTTTTCCTTATTGATTAGGCAAACCATAATTCAAAAATGAAAAAAAAATGACAAAAAGTATACGGTCTTCATTCATTTCCCACCTAACTTCCATATCCTCCACAGGAAATCAACATTTCTTGTTTCTTTTATATCCTCCTAGAATTAATTTATGAATACATAAGCTAACTCAACTACAGATTTCCTCTGATTTTTTACACACAAAAAATAGCATGTTATATACACTAGTTTTTGCTATTTTTTCACTTGATAAATACCTTGATGATCTTTCACATCAATGCATAGTAACCTTCCTCATTCCTTCTTTCACTACATTGTGTTCCAGTCATTCCTAACTGTTTAACCAGTTCCCAGTGGCTTCCAATGAAAAATAATGCTGCGATGAATAACCTTACCGACACACGTATCTTTCTGCATATATGCATATCTGACAGGAATTGCTGAGTTGATTACAAATGTATCTTTGTAACTGTTATTAGTATTAGCAAACTGACTTCAAGATATTAAACCAACTTATATTATCCTCAGCAACTTTCAGTGTGTTGTGCAACTTTTGGATTTTTGCCAGTTTGTTGGCTTTAAGTATTTCATTATAGTTTTAACCTGCATTCCTCAGCATTCTCTGAGGTGAATTTTTCAGCATTTTCATAGGTGAAAAGCCATTTGTAATTCCTATCTAATTCTTCGGTGTATATGGGTGTTTCTGGACTTTCTTTTCTGTTCCTTTAATCTGTCTATTGACTCACAATTACCACATGAGTTAAAATACTGTCTTTCTCTTTTTTTTAAGTTTTTTAAAATATAGTTTACATTCCAGTGGGAATAGTTCTTTCTCTCCTTCTCCATCACTGCACACTTTTCAATATTTTCTTGGCTCTTCTTGTTTTCTTTTTTATATGACCTTCAGAATCAGTCTTTCTGGTTTTAAAAGAAATTTGATGGTGTTTTCACTAGGGCCGAGTTAAACTCATACACTGATTTAAGGAAAAACACTCCTTTTATGATGCTGAGTCTGCCTATCTTTCACTTCGTATCTTTCCATTTGTTCACATCTACTTTGGTGTTCATAGTGTTTAAATATTTCCCCATCTCTTTTTATTTTATCTTTAGATATTATATCCTTTTAGCTAACATTTTAATTGGGCTTAATTCTTTTATTTGTTTTCCATTTATATGTGAAAAAGCTATTTGCATCTGTATGTTAATTTTGGATTCCACTACCTTACTGCAAAATCTCTTGTTTGTAGTAGATCTAAGGATGATTCTCTTGGGTACATACAATATATAATACAATACAGTTATATGACCATCTATAAACAGTGATAGTTTTACCCTCTTACTTCGAATTTTTGTGCTTCTAATTTCTTCCTTTTGCCTTTGCATGGAACAAGGCACCCATAACAAGGTTAAATAACAAGAGTACACATCTTTGCCTAGTTTCTAACTTTAGTGGAAATGCTTTAAGGTGCCATGGTGCTGTCTCTGAGGCGTAGATAAATTTCACAGTTAAGAAGAAAAGTTTCTACTTTTGAGTGCTATTATAAAGAATGTTTATTGCATTTTCTCAAATGCATTTCCAATACATAATCATAGAGATGATTTTTTTTCCTTTTAATTTTCAGTGTAATAAAATCTGTATTTTCTACTATTAAACCATCCTTGAGTTAGTGGGATAAATCTTCCTTGGTTCATGCACTATTTTTTTATGTAAGTCTATTTCAGGGGAGTGGGGTTTAAATTCATAAGTGAGATAAATCTATTTTTGTTTTTAATTTTGACGAGGTTTTGGTATCAAAATGATATTTTTTAAAAATTTGAAAATCTTCATTCTTTCTAAGTTCTGAAACAGTCTACATACCCATGGATTTGGAGGCCCAAGGCCTGAACTTCCTGCCCCTAAGGGGCCTCCCACTTAGTCGTCCACGCCTACGTCTCTTCGCCATGCCAGGTTTACAGTCAGGTTCAAGGGAGTCTGCTTTGCCCACAGATTTTGCCAAACTATCCCCTTGGCTCTGGTTTCATCAGACAACAAGTAAAAACAGTAGGCGTATCATTCATTCATTCATGCGCATCCCTAATTAGAAGGTGAGGCATTTGGCTGTCTTAAGAAAATCATAATTACACCCATCAATTTACCTGGGCTTCAGCGAATTTCTTCAGTTTGACATTCAAAGCACTGGGCAAAAATCACGTCACCATCTGCCGCAGGCTTTTGTACAAATTAACTTTCAATATTTCATAACTGAAAACTGAAAAGATGTTACAATTTGTGCACAAAACCGTAGAGTCTAAAAGCCAGTCTCGCCAGTTCGCCGAGGTCGGAGGTACGGAGCGGGGTGTTGGCAAGGAGGGTGCGCCGTGTGCATGCTGACTGGGGCCTCCTGCAGCTTCGGCCAGACGCTGGCCCAGTTCCTGGCCCTGCTGCTGCCTCCTGGCTCCGTGCTGGTCCTAAGCGGCAGCAACGACGAGGCACTGTGGCAGCTGGAGGCCGAGCTGGGCTCCCGGCGGCCCGGCCTGCACCTGGTGAGGGTGCCCGCCGACCTGAGCGCCAAGGCGGGCTTGCAGTAGCTGCTCACCGCCTCTGTGAGAGCTCCCCAGGCCCGAGGGCATGCAGCGAATGCTGCTCGTCCACAACTTGGGCATTCTTGGGGATGTGTCCAAAGGCTTGGTGGACCTGACTAACTCAGCTGAAGTGAACAACTATTGGGCTTTGAACTTGACCTTCACACTCTGCCTGACTTCCAGCAATCTGAAGGCTTTTCCAGACAGTCCTGGCCTCAGCAGGTTAACATCTCATCCATCTGTGCCCTGCAGCCCTTCAAGGGCTGGGCACTGTATTTGCAGGGAAGGCTGCAGGTAACATGATGTGATGTTTCAGGTCCTGGCCACAGAGGAACCGAGTGTGAGGGGGCTGAGCCCCAGGTCCCCTGGACACAGACATGCAGCAGTTAGCCCGGGAGACCTCCATGAACCCAGACCTGTGAGAAAAGCTGCAGGAGATGAAGACAAAGGGGAAGCTTGTGGACTGCAGGGTATCAGCCCAGAAACTGCTGAGCATGCTGCAGAAAGCCAAGTTCAAGTCTGGAGCCCACGTTGACTTCTACAATGAATAAGCCCATGCCCTTGGCTTCCTAGGGCTTTCTGCGCCTCCCCACATCCTGCCACAGCGGCACTGCCAGCCCTGCCCTCAGATCCAGCCAGCCATGAGGGCCCCAGGTGGCTGAAGTTTCCATCTCAGGAGTCTGTGTTGACCACCCTGAGTTAGGAGTAGGCTTAGGAGAGACATGTTATGGGTTTTGGTGTTCTCCCACCCCAGGAGTAGAATTTTAGGGATGAGAAAAGCAGGACAAGAAGCTAAAACGTTGAAGACAGGAGGTTGGGTTTCCTGCCCATGGCCAGTCCAAGGGGAGGAGGAGGCTGAGCTAGTATCCAATAGGAGGGCCCATGTGATTCACAGACGGCCGGAAGTGGAGGGAAGACAGCGCAAGTCCCGGCCCACAGGGACGACCCTTGCTCAGGGTAGCAGGACCTTCTGTTAAATTTCATGTCCTCGGTCTGATGCTTCTTCCCTCCAGAACCTACCATCCATCCCCCACATGGGAGAAGTGGTTCTGAGAATTTATGTACACATTAAAGGCAGATACAAATAAAATGTGGATTGGCAAAAAAAAAAAAAAAAAAAAAAGCCAGTCTCTGAGACCACATGATTGTGTGAGCAGACAAACTCCTCCAAACTTCCAAATATCGAAATCCTTTGAGGTAATCAGATATGCCCCTTCATCAGCCGTTTACTCTCTCTAGTATCTAAGCTATTGCAAAAAGTAAATAATATAATTCTGGTCCTTTAATGACAATTTAGTGCTACTTCCTGTTTAGAACCCCTTTAAAAGAAAAGATAGTCTTCTAATTCCCTAAACTAGATAATATGTAATAGTAATAGCTAAACACCTAATGAGAATAAAAGGTTGTATAAAAACAAATGCATAAGAGATTGTCCTTCATTTACATGTTCAAATTATAGCACCCCAGAAAAAGTGTACATTGGTACAGGCAAAGCACCAGAATCATAAATAAAGCCAGTATTTCCTGGAGGGCAGGGAGAGGAGAGTGAAAGAGTGAGGAGTTTTCACAGTTTTTCAGTTTTCACACTGAAGCAGACAGAAATGTCTTTATACACCAAATACCTTCACCTAGCCTTGCCCTGCCTTGGGTGACATTTCAACACATAGGACAGGAGCCAGAGAAATTCTTCTCACAGTCAATACTTGGGAAAGCAAACCTTTGAAATACAAAGCTCCCATATATATCAACTCAGACTAGAAAGACGAGTTTTTACAAAGAGTTGTCTAACAGCTTCTGACCTTTCATTGTCTCACAGTTTGAGAGACATGTAGTTTCAATAGAACATGGTGAAAAATACCATTTAGTGATTTCTTGTTTTCTGTCAGGGCGATACCTTTCTCCTAGTTTCTGCTATTCCTCAGATGTCTCACCTGCTGTTTCTCTCACAGTCTATGTTCTTCTGTAAGGGGATTTCACAAATAGAGTAGCCTTCATTTCCTCCTCCTTTTGTAATGGCACCCAACTTTCTTTGAGGTACTTGGTCTTCCTTATGGGTAGATGGTTGGTGGGACAGTTAATCAAGATTCCTTGCTCTTGACCCATGGAGCAGAACCTGATCCAAGCAAGGCCAGTAGGACCCCTCTCCCAGGATCCTAAATTGTGAATGAAATGCTCTAATAAAAGAAAGCTATTTGGAGTTGACTGATCTCAGTGGTTACTGCATTAAAGAGCCCTCTGTCAGTTCCTACTATCTTGGCTCCCTAGGGATACCCAAGCCTAATTTCTCCCCCTTCCACCTCACTGTATGAGCTAACCTAGTAAATTATTTAGTTAAGTTAGCTGGTATTCATGTCTTTTAAGTGCAACAGAATAAACATATTGTGAGTATGCTGTAATTTCAGGTTGATTATTTTAACTATTCATACCCCATTTGATCCTATTTGGGCCAAAGGGTAAGCTTAGGAGTTTAATCTTTGACAACAAAACATAGGAAATATAGATACACCATACCTTTTTTTTTATGAAAATTTCTTCTTATTAATCCTCCTTCTTTATACTTCATGATGCAATATGATAAAAATCTCTCCCCTGGTATTGTTTTAAATAAAAAGTCTAAATTAACTGAAATTTCCGCTAAACCCACTTATCCTAATATTTACAGAAATTCAGCATTCTAAAAGCAGGATCTTTATTCTAAAGGTTTTTTGATAATCTTCAATTTAAATTACATTGCAGCAGATACCAAGGGAAATCAGAAGAACTGTAACGCATCACCCTTGCCATCTAGGCGCTTATAACCCACTAAGGAATGTAAGATATGGGCACAAAAGAGCACATGGTTGAGTGCCGAAGAGATGGGTGGATATTAAACATCTAGGAGTCAGAGGGAAGTGAAAGCAGTCAGGGCAGGAGCAGGAGTAAAGTCCTTGCAAAGAAGGTTGGTTCTAAAGAACAATGCAGAGATTCACCAATGGGCGGCTTAGGCAAAAGGATCAACCGACCTGATAGATTCGGTGTGAAGTGAAGAGGGCAGATCTTACAGGGCTCACAAAGGAAAACAAGATTAGAAAGATGGCACTCTCCATTGAAATTGCAGAAGAAAGTGCCTCAAAAAGCCTGTCTGTTACCCCAAGGTAGGATTATTTTCACACTTTATGGGATAAATCCTGGCATTAATAACATTTACAATATCCAAGTGGTAGAATTTTTTTTCCCCTAAAAAATAGTAAGATCTATAAGTCCCAGAAGATGTTGTCTTGTTTGGACTAGTGTTCCATGAGTATATTCAAAGTTTGGGGTTCTTACTCATATAATTGTATAAAAGTATGCTTCTAAGAAACACATACATTGTAGTATATTCCAGTACACCCTCTGAGAATGGGGAATCTTTTAACCTGTGTTAACAAACTAAGACTCCAAAATTCAAAATTAAAAGCCATTTTGAAAAGCACTGTAATTTAAGGGCAGTTCTGTCAATCTACAGGGTCTGACAGAATATCACAAAATTAACTTGAACTTATAATTTAAGTGTATTTCTTATCTTTAACTTAAAAGTTAAATATGTTCGGGAGAGGGGCCAAGATGGCAGAGCAGAAAGACCCTGAGCTCACCTCTCATGAGCACAGCAAAATCAAAACTATCTGCAGAACAACCATTGATGAAAAAAACTAGAATCTACCAGAAAAGACCTTCTACAACTGAAGACAAGGAAGGAACCTCAACAAGATGGGTAGGAGGGGGTGGACTAATGATATAATCAAATCCCATACCCCTCGGGTGAGCGGCCCACAAGCTGGAGAATAATTATAATGCAGAGGTTCTCCCACAGGAATAAGAGTTATGAGCCCCACATTGGCTTCCTTAGCCCAGTGGTCTTACACCAGGGAGACAAGACCCCAGAGCATTTGGCTTTGAAGACCAGCAGGGTTTGATGTCTGGAGACCCCCAGAACTGGGGGAAATAGAGACTTCATCCTTAAAGGGCACACAAAAAATCTCACTGCAAAGCAAAAGCAGTAACTTGATAGGAGCCTGGACCTGACCTACCTGCTGGTCTTGGAGAGTCTCCTGGAGAGGTGTGAGGTGGCTATCGCTCATGCTGGGAACACAGACACTGGTGGCAGACATATTTGGGAACATTCCACACCAAGAACACTATTTGAGGCTGCCTTGGATATTTGAAAGCCAGTACTGGTGCTGGCAGGCACTATCCTGGGATCCTCCTTCTAGCTCATTAGAGCCAAGACCTGGCCCCACCCAACAGCCTGTAAGCACCAGTGCTAGGATGCCTCAGACCAAACAACTAACTGGGTGGGAACACAGCCTCACCCATCAGCAGAGAGACTGCCTAAAGACTTCCTGAGCCCACAGCCACCTCTAGACAAGGCCCTGCCCACTAGAGGGCCAAAATCCAGCTCCACCCACCAGTAAGCAGGCACCAGCCCTTTCCTCTAGGAAGTCTGCGCTAACTTCTAGACCAGCCTCACCCATCCTGCAGCCTGTGGATCTAGCCTGTCCACAACTGGCCAGACCTACCCTGGGACCAGCTGCGCCCTGGCCTTGTCCACTAGGAGGCCAACATAAGCTTCAGGATACCCTGGACCCTATACCCTACTGTGTCAGAAACTACCCTCACCCCCTAAAATGATCTGAAACAAGCTCTAGGACCTAAGTCCAGGAAGTGCAGAGAGTCCACATAGGATTAACCCAAAGAGGAGCACAATAGGACACAGTGTAATTAAAATGGCAAAAATTAAACATAAAGAGAGAATATTAAAAGCAGCAAGGGAAAAGCAACAAATAACATACAAGGGAACTCCCATAAGGCTATCACCTGATTTTTCAGCAGAAAATCTGCAGGCCAGAAGGGAGTGGCACAATGTATTTAACACAATAAAAGGGGAAAAACCTACAACCAAGAATACTCTACCCAGCAAGTTTCCAATTCAGATTTGATGAGAAATCAAAAGCTTTACAGACAAGCAAAAGCTCTGTTAAAAAACAGACAAATAAACCTAATTACCTCCCCCACCAAAAACAAAAAACAGACAAACAAAAGCTAAAAGAGTTCAGTACCACCAAGCCAGCTTTACAACAAAAGTTAAAGGAATTTCTCCCGGTGAAAAAGAAAAGGCTACAACTAGAAACAAAAAAAATTATGAAATGAAAAAGCTCACTGGAGCTTTTTAGGAAATCATCCACACACAAAGCTAGTAGGGAGGTTAAAAAACAAGAGTAGGAAAATCATCTATATCCACAATAAGCAGTTAAGGGATACACAAAACAATTAGATGTAAAATATGATATCAAAAACAGTAATCATGAGGGGAGGAGAGAACAAATGCAGGGTTTTAAAAATGCACTTGAAATTAAGAGATCAGCAACTTAAAACAATCACGCACATGTATAGGCTGCTATACAAAAACCTCACGGTAACCGCAAACCAAAAATCTGTAATAGATAAATACACAGAAAAGAAAAAGGAATCCAAACATAACACTAAAGATAGCCATCAAATCATAAGAGAACAAAAGAAGAAAGGAGGGGGAAAGACCTACAAAAACAAACCCAAAACAGTTAACAAGATGGCAATAAGAACACACAAATTGATAATTACCTTCAATGTAAATAGGCTAAATGCTCCATTAAGAGACACAGAGTAGCTGAATGTATACAAAAACAAGGCCTGTATATACTGCCACCTACAAGACTCACTTCAGATCTAGAGATGCATACAGACTGAAAGTAAGGGGATGGAAAAGGTATGCCGGGAATATGGAAATCAAAAGAAAGTCAGAGTAGCAATATTCATATCAGACAAAATAGACTTTAAAATAAAGACTGTTCTAAGAGACAAAGACGGACACTAGATAACGATCAAGGGATCAATCCAAGAAGAAGATACAACAATTGTAAATATATATGCAGCCAACATAGGAGCTCCTCAACACATAAGGCAAATATTGACAGACATAAAAGGAGAAATTGACAGTAACACAATAATAGTAGGGGACTTTAACATCCTACTAAAAAACCCCAACAAACTAGTGAATAAACAAAAAAGAAGCAGACTCACAGATACAGAGAACAAACTAGTGGTGACCAGTGGGGAGAGGACAGGGAGGGGAGTTACCGGGATAGGGGAGTGAGAGGTACAAAGCACTGGGTATAACACAGGCTTAAGGATGTGCTGTGCAACAAGGGGAATATGGCCAATATTTTGTAATAACTGAAAATGGAAAATAACCTCTAAAATTGTATTAAAAATTTACAAACTAAACTAAATAAAATGCCTAACAGTGTCATTTTTTTTCAAATTAAACATATTCCACATATTATAAACCTCCCTTGGAGAAGAAAGGAGAGCATGAAATAAAATCAATCATAATAATATTATTCAACAAAATGAGATTATCATTGGTATAAAGGATAGTGTATCTCCTAAAGCTAGAATTTGTTTTGTTAAAGGGAACAGAGAGTTAAGTAAACTCTAAGACATTTCCTTTGGAAAATGAAAAGGATTGCCGATGAAAGTCTACCTTTCACTCATAGTAAACTTCTAAGCTCCAATGTCTTAGACTGCATTCAGTTCTGTTCAAACGATGCCAATTCTCTGTTATTTCCTCAACTCTACACTGGCTGAAAATTTCTATTCTCCCGGATATAGGATGTCAGAATTGCACATTTGACATTTACGAACACTTGATGTTGACGTAGACGCTTTCCACCCCTGAAATGTATGTAAATATGTTACACTATTTTTTGCCAAATACAGAGTGATTCACAACTGTTTGATCTTATCTTCAGTTAACAGTTGCCTCTTGCCTTTGTTCCCCCCACAACAATTGTTTTCTAACAACTCCTTTTTAAATGTTGTCTTTAAATATCTCACTGAAGATTCCTAGATACATTTTTACTTGAATTATAGGAGATAAAAACAACAAATCTTTATTTGAATCTCAATCACTTCCAAATTACCTGGTGTTGAATTGTCACTTTATTTTAATTGACAGCCTAGGATTATATGACTGCACCCTGGGAAAAAAATGGTTGATTCCAGGTTGATTTTGTCTTAATTGAAGCATCCGTGAGGAGTGTCAAGAGTCTAAATCATACTAGGTTTCTTGACCTTCCTTCAGAATTTTATTGTATGTGTATTATACCTCAATAAAGCTGATTTTATTTTTAAAATAATTAATGCTATAACCACACAGACAGTTATAATGACCTGACATGGAGATAAAAATCAATATTATCTGCATGAGGCCTTTTATAAATGTAAGGCCCCTCCCCCGGGCCAGCTTCTCCCCACCCATGTCCACACACCTCCCCATACACACCCAGAGTTTTAACCCAGAAACAGGTTTAAACAAGGGCAATAAAATCAAGAGATTATGTTTTGTTATTATTGTCGCTCCTCAAAAAAGAGTTAACAGAGCTTCTGTTCAAATGCAGGGATGACTACACATCATAAAAGAAGAATCTAAGCAATGAAAATAAAATATAAATTCAGGATTTCTGAAATAAACATCAGTGATCATTGGAGAAATTTTTTCTAGTATCTGGTTCCACAGTGGTAGGAACTGAGTAGTGGTTAAGATCATAAGTTTTGTTATTACATGTCTATCTGGGTTCCAATCCAGTGTTTTTGAGCCAATTACTTAATGTCTCTGAGCCTGAGTTTCCTCATCTGTAAATGGGATAATAGCGAATTTAAAGTGCAAAGCTCAGTGCCTAGCACATAGTAAAACACTTTAGTAAATATTAGCTATTCTTATTTTATAACAGGAGATTTCCAGTAAATTGATAGCCATTTTCTAAGATGTAGTTACTAGTTACTCACACCAACATTCTACAGCAACTAGTTACTGAATCATTTATAAATCAAGGGCTTCTAAGACTTTCTGAACTTAAGTTATTTATTAATACTTAGAACATTTAAACCAAGATCAAAACATTGGCAGACTGCAATTTGGAATGATTCAAAACTGGTGTTTACTACCAGGATCTGGTTTCCTTTCAAGTTTCAGGTTCAAGGCCTATGCATTTTTAATACGTTAGGAATCCCAGAATTTACATTTTTTAAAGTCACCCTGTATTTCTGACCCAGGTCATCCACAGATACACTCTGAAAACTGTTGCCCAACCACAGTGATTATCAACCCTGACAATACTAGAGTCATCAGGAAACTTTTAAACAACCCTGAGGCCAAGTCCCACTACCAGCCTTCTCTGGGAGTGGAGCCTTACCCTTCCTGCCATTCTAATGTGCAGCTGTGGCTGAGAATCACTGCCCGATAGGATAGAACACCTTCTGACCAACTGTCCCATCTTCCTTCCCAGTGGAGGAAGGACACAGTGAGGGAGCAAATAAGATACGAAGCAGCTGGGGGTAGGGGCTTAATGAGCAAGTGGCAACTTTCTGCCCGGACCCCACCCACCCCAATGCAGCAGCCAGCCTTTGGCTGTCCTTTTAGCTCTACCCTGTCATCTATACCATCAAGGACAAAGCCCACTTACCCTAGAAAATCTCTACTGATCACCAGATCAAGATTTCAAGTAGAAAACAAAGCAAAAGTTCTTATAGGAATGAGGACTATAGCAAAAGTTAATTTCTTGATTTTCTACAAAAAGTTTGGGGGAAAAATGCAGAAACAGATCATTGCCTCTGACACAAAATTTAAAAGATGATCACATCACTTTATCTGCAGATTTGCAAAAGCTAATTGTAACGAAAACAGGAGAAAGTGGTGTAAGAAAGTGCATCAAACAATCCCAGAAAACAACCTCCAACATGCTAAAATGCCTAAGTGTATTAGAAGGTTACAGAAAAGTAAGCATCTCTCTCCAAAGAATCAAAAGTTTACAAAACAGGAGAGCAGAATAATTGGACCTTCTCAGGAGAGCATGGGAGAAAAAAGGAATGGATGGTTGCCTGCTTCCTCCTCACTTGTGACAGCTGGCTCTGTCCCCACTGGTGGTGGCAATGCTATTTACTCCACACTTGGATATGGCAAGTCCCCAAAATCTATCTTTTGGCTGGTTTCTGGCTAGAGAATGAGCAGTTTCACCCTTGCAGCTCCAGAGAGAGCGAACATACACCATTGTCTTTTCCTGTCTCTTTCCTGTTGTCCTAAATGGCCACCTGGGTGCACTGCCCCTAGAGCATCACTCAACCCCCTATAATGCCACCCTCCAGCTGCACAGCAGAAAAGACCTGGGAGAGGCAGCTCCAAGATTCCCCAGGCAGCCTCTGCTAAGACAGTCGCCCCATGTCTCTGGGTCCAAGCCACACACCCCAGCCACCCTCTGCAGTCCTTAACTGGGCAGGCAGGGGGTGGCAGATAAAACTCTGAGAAGATCCTGAAGATGAGGATAATGTTAACAGTAATGGTGACAATTATAATAAAGTTGTCAACATGACAATGAAATCACTTATTAATTTGTTCAAATTAGCAAAATAACCTCTCACTCTGGGGAAAGTAGTGGGGTAGAAGCTGGGATATTTTGATAATGGTGTTATGCGGTCCTAAAGAATGGTTAGAATTTCTACTTTTCTGTTTGTTATGTGGATAGCATTTGGAAGGTACTGCATATTTAGAAGAAAACAAGTTGAATGCATTTGGAAGGTATTGCGGAGCGAAGGTGATGTGGCCCCTGCCTCCCTGGAGCTGAGAGCCAGCTTCCATCATTGAATCTGAAAGCCTAGCTAAATACACGGGTAAAAATAAAGAAGCTGATTTTTCAAATCC